TTAAAAGTGAATATACTGTACAATATTCTTTACTTTTTTGCATCTGTTAACAGTTGCTATAAATAATTGATGAATGGGACAGTTACCATGTATTCCCATTTATGATAATATGATATCTAATAGTATGGGAGTACAGTACATATTACACTGTTATGAGATCATTCTTCCAATAACTCCAAGATATATACAGGTATTCAATATTTATTGATGCAAATCAATAGTATAAACTTGTCTTCAAATAAATATAACATCCTTCATTAGAATGACAAATTTGATTAAAAAATTTGATATAACTCCACAAGCATAACGAGAGGGGCAAGGGGGTCTATCACGCCCAGGGCACCAAATGGTCTCCAAGACAAACAAAATTTGCTTCTGGAGGGGGAGGGTCAAAGTGTCATGCTCCAGGCACCAGTTATGTTTGCTACGCTACTGTATAACTCTAAAGCTGGTATGCATAATCTAAAATTTCTATTCTATCTAAAGTTTGCTGTCATTAGAAGAATAAATCTAATAAAAAGAAGTTTCCCATAAATATTTGTTTCTGATGAATCTATTCAATCTATCATAATAAACCAATTTGCAAAACAAAATCCATAATTGCTGTCTAGAATATTTCAAACTTACAACATACAGTACATATAATGATGCTGAAATAATCATATCCAAATTTTTTGACTTTCATTAAAAGATGAAAAACTAAATGGCATTCTAATAATAGCTCCAAATAACTATCTAGATTTATTAAATGGTAATCAGTCCTATAATGACACATCACACACTATCACCTACTCTGCAGCAACATTGGTCCTATAAGAGCTTTGGCTCTGTTGCTCCAACAGCATCCTCCTCCTCTTTAGGGCTAATAGTAATTTCTGATTCAAATGAGACACATGTACAAGAATTTCTAATTATATTTTTTTATCTAAAAAATTTAATAGGCTTTTATATCAAAGCATTAGGTTAAAGAATGTCAGAAAATAGTGGAAGTTTTAACTTTTTCATAATCTTTGTTCACTGGTTCTTTCTCAATGATTTTCCCCACTCCTTGATTGTTTAAAAATATTCAATGTAAAACACAAAAATAATGTTAACAATTCTCACTCAGGGTTATTTGTTATGCAGTTTGATTCACTTTTTAACTGATGACAACAAATAAATCTAGCAAGTTTGAGAATAATAGATAAGGACTTGTTGTTCAAAGTATTGTTGACAGAATAATTTAACATTTTTCTAAAATTAACTTATAAATTCTATAATTCTAGAAAATAATTAAATTCACTGAAATGAGTTCTTCTTATTAAATTCTACATATTGGCCAATTTCATATAAAAACATTGGTTTTTGTACTTCAAGCTATTGTATAATCCCATTTTCATTCAGAAATAATGTTAAATGGCTCAATCTGTTGATATTTTCTGAATAATTCAATTCTAATTTTAGTCAAAACAAAATTGTCTTATTCATGCAATGCAAAAAAGGAAAATATATTATCCACGTGTTTTCAGGATTTTGTATACAAATAAGATTCAGTTTAGAAAGACTACTTAAGTAAATGATTTAAGAATAGAAGTTGTTTTCACAATATTGTGTTCACTTATAATACAGTATATAAAAATCAAAATGAATTCAAGTCTAGAAATTTCAGTTATAAAAAATTTACTAAGTCAAAAATTGTACAAATAATATAGTTTATTTCTTTGAGCAGTATTAATAAGGCAAATTACAATCCAGTATTGATTATTAATGATCCCAATAAATCAAAATCCTGACTAATTGCTCACACTGTCACTACTTTTTCGTTAAACATCAATTATCTATTGATTAAATAAAAGAAAAAAAAATACTACCAAAATAAATCTTTATGCAGTACTGTATTTACAAACTTTCTTCATATTTGCTAAACAATATTCATAACTTAAAATTATATTTCATAACTGTATAACTGTCAGGAAACCATATGTATTAAAATCATCATGATAGTTACTCTAGAAAGCATCAAAACATTTGAAATAAAATAATAAAACNTGATTGGCCGGGAAGCAATAGACGAACAGCAGTTTGGATTTCCCGACTAGTGATGGTTGAACGTTTATTGTAATGAGCAAGACGGGAAGCTTCGGCTGCAATTCTTTCGAAAATGTCATTGACGAAACTGTTCATAATTGACATAGCTTTACTTGATATACCTGTATCGGGATGTACTTGTTTCAAAACTTTGTATATGTAAATACTGAAACTTTCCTTCCTCCTCTTCTTCTTTTTCTTCTTATCACCAGCGCGAACATTTTTCTGAGCCTTTCCGGCTTTTTTCACAGCTTTTCCACTTGGAGCAGGCGGCATACTCGATTACTTCTAACGTTGATACAATTTGCAGACGATCAATTCTCAACCTATTTATATTAAGGCTTACTTATTTTCATGCTCCAATATGTTTAATACTAGGACAGTGCATACAAGTATAAACATTAGATGACAACTCTGATAACACAAATACAGGCCTATAATGGGATCCTAATCTCATGTCAGAGATTTCAGTGACTAGTACAACATATTTAATATTTAAAAATGAATTAATCAGATTTCATTTCTAACATACCATGTATTCCCAGGCATTGATAGTGAGCACATTAAATATAAGAATGAAATTGGTGTTCAATCTTCTCTGGGTTTGTCGATTATATTTATTCATGTAACTCTGTTCAATAGATTTTACTACGGTGAGAATTTACATACTAAAAAACATATTGAATGAAGGCAAATATCCATTATACTTTTGCCCCCATAGTATATTATAAATATGCAAAAACTACATTCTTCTAAAGTGAATAAATAAAAATATATTTTATTAGCTATAACTTAAGTCAGTTTATAGCTAATAAAATTATGTTTAAAATTAACTTAAAATATTAAACTGTTTTGTAATAAAAATAAATTTGATGTCATAACTTTAAGTGACAAAGAAATCTTGGCAACAAAAGAAATCCAATTGAATAAGAGGCTTTTACAAATTTTCCAGTGTACCACAGAAGAAATCTGGAAAAAAATTTATCATCAGAATATTTACAAGTAAAAAAAAAAAATTCCATAAATACAGTTTTAACTATCACTATTTTCTTTCAAAGTTAACTTTAAGATATTACAGATAACATGTAAAACAAACTTTTAAAAAAGTTGACACATTGTATAAATTTACAAAAATTATTTTTTCTTACCATAAAAAATATATAATAGTAAGCATATATATCAATACTATTATAATTACAATACTTTAAACAAATTTACACCAAAAAAACCCTTATTTCAACACACTAGATCTATTTTATGAAAGATGAATAGCTATTTAGATTTCAGACCTATTTTAAAGGATTTCATTTAGTTTAAAATTAATAATTTATATATAAATGTTACAATTCCATAAATACAGTTTATGGAATACAAGTACTTGCATGTATATACTTGCAAAAACTTTACAAGTTTTGAATAGTTATGTATATGAAAATACTTCAACTTCAGAAAATTAAAGATTTGTTTAACCATTATTGTATTAAATATTGTTACTAAAAACTTTTTTAGGCATTACTTTTGTACTTAAGATTTTTAAATCACAGTCAGTAGACTAAGACAAGGAAATTACTATTCTAAAGATGGAAAAAGTTCACTAGACTTCTAAAAGATATAAATACTTCATATATGAAGTATTTATAATACATAATAAACTTCCTGAATAATTAAATAAAAAATAATAAACCCAATTACTACTAATAGAACTTTTGTTACGTTATGCTTATTCCTATATATAAGGCTATTACAAGATTTAATCCTACTCTGTCCTATAAACATTTCGTAGAATATAATTCAAAACGTTTTATTCAATCAAAACTATGAATATATTTAACTTCATTACAATGTATTTAACCAATAGGAAAATGAAAAAATTAGTTTCTCTATTGTAGCTGCATATTTTTAAATTCTATCATGAAACTTTTTTTGACTTAAACTAATATTAGCCCTCCAAAATAAAAAAAAAAAAAAGCAAGTTCACTCGCATCAATACAAATCAAATTCTCAGAAATGCAACAATGCTTCGATAAAAATCAAACCTTGACTATGTTAAAACTGTTACAGATTATTCCGTAATAACTATTTCGTCGGTTTTAAAGAGAGAAATGTTCAGTATCTAACTGCTTTGTACTGTACATTTTATAAATTTAACAATTTTTTCATTACTTTTCTTTTTTAATTAAGAACTTATTAGAGTTCCAAAGAGTTTTACAAACTCTGAAATGAATGCGTTGTTGCATCTTAAGTTAAAAATTTAAATCTACTAATATACGATAGGCTTCTCTTTACCATAATTTTTGGCCCTGAAAAGGGCCTTTTGTGTCCCAAAAGAAAGTGCTTCATTTAGAACTGGTATACTTGGTTACGGCCTTGGTGCCTTCTGATACAGCATGCTTGGCCGGGAAGCAATAGACGAACAGCAGTTTGGATTTCCCGACTAGTGATGGTTGAACGTTTATTGTAATGAGCAAGACGGGAAGCTTCGGCTGCAATTCTTTCGAAAATGTCATTGACGAAACTGTTCATAATTGACATAGCTTTACTTGATATACCTGTATCGGGATGTACTTGTTTCAAAACTTTGTATATGTAAATACTGAAACTTTCCTTCCTCCTCTTCTTCTTTTTCTTCTTATCACCAGCGCGAACATTTTTCTGAGCCTTTCCGGCTTTTTTCACAGCTTTTCCACTTGGAGCAGGCGGCATACTCGATTACTTCTAACGTTGATACAATTTGCAGACGATCAATTCTCAACCTATTTATATTAAGGAGGATTGGATTGAGTTGCAACTATTTACTAAACTGTTATTGGCTGGATATCCGTATAGCCATTCTTATTGGCTACAAGTACACCATTAATGGTTAGGATTGAAATTTTACAATCTATTCTCTAATTGGTTATCTCTAGACCAATAGCTACCAGGATTGACTTACTACAATCCTTCCGTTTATTGGATACGATGTAAACCAATAGAGAAACGAGATTTGACCAATGTCGAAGATAGTTGTTTTGATGTTTTGAAATTCGTGTTCTTATCGATATCATCAAATATTTGCTGTTTGCCGAAAGATGTCTGGTCGTGGTAAAGGCGGAAAAGTAAAAGGAAAGAGCAAGACTCGATCCAGCCGTGCAGGTTTACAATTTCCAGTCGGCAGAATTCATCGTTTGCTACGAAAAGGTAATTATGCGGAAAGAGTAGGTGCTGGCGCCCCTGTCTATTTAGCTGCTGTATTAGAGTATTTAGCCGCCGAAGTATTGGAATTGGCAGGAAATGCTGCACGAGATAACAAAAAGACTCGTATTATACCTCGTCATCTTCAATTGGCAGTAAGAAACGATGAAGAATTGAATAAATTACTGTCTGGAGTAACTATTGCCCAAGGTGGAGTCCTTCCAAATATTCAAGCTGTTTTGCTTCCCAAGAAGACCGAAAAATAATCTAATATTTACACAACAAAGGTCCTTTTAAGGGCCAAAACATGATGTTAAAGAGTAGCTAAATCGTATATTAAATTTTACTTTCCATATTTATTTTTAAAATATTAAAAGTTGTATAGAATAAAATACTGTATGTTAAAATAAAATCTTGTATGTGGTCAAAGAGATTTGTAATTTGATTTTTATATAATACACAAGAAAGTTTGCGCCAGTTTTTTTCAATATTTACAAAAGAATGGATATGTTTATACAATCCAAACCATTCTTTTAATACTAAAATTATGTTATGAGCAAAAAAACAGTATAACGAGAACAAGTGGAAGTAATCAGTGCAGAAAAACTCTTATATATAGTTTTTGTGAATACATTAGCATAAGTGATTGGTGATTGTTTTGAATTATAAAAGTTAAATTTTATAACATATTATCATTCTTTTCATCAGACACAGATTATAGCATTCTTAAATTATTGGTATTTAAGTACCAATTAATTCTGAGCTGAAGAAATACAATTTAAATTGAAATCATTGCAAAAATCCGTTTTTTTTTTTCGAAATGTGCTGTGTATTTTGTATTAAATATTAATGCTTCATATATAATAGTAAACTAACAGTAAATATTATTTTGTAATAAATGTCTTTTTGTTTATTTTTTATTTCATATGAAAAATTTATAGACCCAGAATCATTTTAAAAATTTCATAATTAAGCAGGGAAGAATGCTAATGTATTAGCTTATATCAAAATATTAAGATATTAATAATAATGATTTATTATGAATATTTTAAGTTTTATTCTTCAAAATATTCAAGCTATATACCACATATATAAACGTGCATTAAGCTGTATCAGAAGTAGAATATTTATCATCATATATTTTTGAACTGAATGATTATTTATTTGCTGCGTTGGTTAAAGATTGATAAAATTAATAACAAAATTTATTATATAAAATTAACTTATTAAATAGAATAATATAAAACTTTTATAAACTAATAAAAAATTTATTAAGCACTCAGTTTTCGGATCAATATGATAGCATTTTATGTTCATATAATAGTTTTACGCACTGTTTATCATGCTTCCAAAGGTTTATTCATAAAATATCGGGTTTTTACAGTTTTTTGAAAAGTGTAATCATCGATGATTTCCAATCAAAATTAATTACAGNAAAAAATATATACGTATTTTGGAAATGTTGAGTCGGATTAGTCTAGAATCGATTAATTTTATGGAAGAAAATCTTTCAAACAGCCGTAGTCCGTAAACTTGATACGTGTCGGGTTGTGATTGGAAGGATTCGTAAGAAATCGGATTCCTAAGGAATGGAACGTATATCTTATAGGGGGGTCGACTGTATATCAAAATGCTCAAAGACCTAGTTCTTTGTCTTCATAAAAGAAACTTTAACATCACGAGAAAAGTTGTTAATGAATGTAATGAAATATCTTGCTCATCCAATTTGAGATGGCAGTTCCAATTTTCAAACATCAGAGTGAACTAATTGAAGCAAGTATGTAGATCTCATAGAGTTCTCCTTATCAAATGACTTTGCTTTCATCTTCACTTGTATGCATACCTCACAAATCTGTGTGTTAGCATTTTTTTATCTTAAAATTTGATATTTTATTTAATGCCTGCAGATTTAAATGACCCATTCTTTGATGCCATATTTCTTTTCCTTCTTGCACATTGCAAACAAAAGTTTTTGTAACTTTCTTCTTGTGAATGCAATATAGCCCATCTTTGTTTACAGCAGTGATCTCGTTCTTTGCAGTTTCAACTGAACCCAAATGTTCTTCAATTTGAGTAAATTTGGCTCTGAATGGAGATATATGATGGGTAGCTGCAGTATCTGTTATCCAAGTTATTTTGTCATTTTTAATATCACAAGCAACTTCAACTGCTCTGATCATTTGTGCCTTGTGCAAAACCTTAGCAGACATAGCTATTGGTTTTATATCTCTTTTAATTTCAGCTACTTGAGTAGGTGCTTGATTGTGTCATTGTATTAGGCACCTGACATTCAATGTTTGTGGGAAGAAACATTTGAAAACATTTGAAAATTTAGCTTTTGTGTGTTCAGGCTCTACTTCTTAATTCAACAAACATTCTTTTGCAATATGTCCCAATTCTCCACAAACAAAACATTTATAACTTCATTACTTCTTTGTTGGCTTCGTGATTTCACTGATCTGAATAGTGTTTGTTTCAAAATTTTTCTTTTGCTTTAGTGTTTTGCTCACTAAACTTCACATGATAGCAATGCAAGGTTTTCATCTGCACTACTAGATTCCTCTTTTATCCGCAAAATCTTCTTTTCTTCAATAATGAGATGACTTTTAACATCTGCAACCTTAAGTTTCTCTTCTTGTCATTCCAAATGTAATACTAGCAGTTCATAATCTTATGGTAAACCAATTAACAGTATGCAAGCTAATTGGGACTCATTAAATTTCATGTCAGATTTATCAATACTATTAATAATGTCTAATTTTCGTGAAATAGTTGTTCATTGATTCTTTCTTTTTTTTAAACGCAAAACAGATCCTAAGCCAGTTGTTATGTAAAAATCATGCCACATTTCATGTAGATTTTCTCCAAGGCTTGCCGCACGTCCTTTGCAGAATTGTAGTGCTTAATGTTTTTCAAATATTCATCACTTATTGTTAAGATTATACAATTACATGCCTTTCAATCAATTTAAAATCTTTTGTGCTTCAGTTGGATTATCAAAACTGGGATCAATGATCTCTCAACAACCCTTTCCTTCCATGGTGCTTTGAGACAAATAGATCAACTGATATAATTATCTGCATTTAAATGAGCAATGTGAAAAACCTTGTATTCTAGCAGACATTATCTTCCTTTGTTAATTCTCAGTTATATGTAATTCTTGAACTAATAGTATAAGTATTTTCACTCTACTTATTAGATTATAGGTACTCTTACCTTGATTACGATGTTGGAACTTTTTCTAAAATGAATGTGATCATTCTCCTTAATTTCAATCACATCACTAACTGAAACCCTTACTACTAGAAGTTTAGCTTTCTTTGAAGATTTATTCTTTGAACTGTCCTGGGCCCATAACCTGTTAATTATCATATAAGAAACTAGAGTAGCTAAACAGAACATCTTTATTCAACATGATGAACAAGCTAGATGAACAAAAGGTAAAAAAGTGGGTTAGTGAGTAATGGTCACACAATAAATAAGAATCTGCCACTACTCAAGTGCCCTGTTGAAATCAAACATGACAGTAAGACAGTTAAACCCATTAACAATTCTCTATGTTTATAAAATATTTTGTATTTTTTAATAAACAACTTAGGATATCATAAATTGATATATTTTTTTAACATTAAATCTTCAAATTGTAATTTAATTAAATTTACAAATTTATGTTGAAAAAATCATAGGGCAATTAGGGATAGAAATTAGTAATAACAGTACTTAAATAAATAGTAAATTGACAGACATATAAACATATACAGAGATTTTTATGAAAATATTTGAAGTGGATAAAATAAAATTTAATTANCTTACTATTTAGATAAAAATTTTCTTTTATACATTTTCTATACAGTATAATTTTAGGTATTGATTATATTATTATTAATTGACTTCACTTTCAATAAATAACAATTTACATGTTTTGTTTCTATATAAACTATATGATAATTTTTCTATTAAAAAAATGAACTTTTGAACATCTTATACAGTATTAATTAAAATGATTCATCTGATATACTTAGTCATTGTCTTTATACAATTTGTGTAAAGACAATGACTAAGGTAATGACTAGATTAACAAATAGATTAACAAATGATAAAGAATTCAATTTAAATATCATTTAGAGATTTGGAATAGACAAGTAATGTTAACATAATAAAATTATGCCAAAAAAGTTCTGTTTTCAAAAAAGAAACTGGATACTATATAAAAATTTGAGTATCTTTACTATGAGCAGCATTTTAAAGTAGACTATGATCTTGATTATTATTGAGTAAAATAAATTATTATTTAGATTAACATTTGAAAGAAATAAAAGTTGATTTCATAGGAGGCTAGATATTTATGTTGCACCAAATATTAAAGAACTGGAATTGATGAAGAAACTGTTTATTGATTTCATCAGCCCATGACTCAGCTAAAGAAAAATTTGGAGGTATCATGGCCAAATATGAAATATTATGTACATTATAATTTAAGTTCATTTTATGTTTGGCCATATACTGTAACTAGATGAAGTTTTATCATTAACTCCAGTTATAAAATTTTTGGGTAAAATAGAAATACTTAGAACAATTCAAAATTAAAAAGGAAGTGATAGAAAAATTTTTTCTCAACAATAAAGCTTATCATGGGTAAATTTCTGAAGAAAAGTGATAAAATAAAAATAACTGGGAAAAGAATAAAGACAGTTTTTGTTGATAAAATACTGCTAATACTGTAGAAGAAACAAAATAAAACTGAAAACTATTTCTAAGGTACTGTACAGTACTATACAATGAACTAGTAAAAATTCGAATAAAAATCAATAAAGTAGTACAAATTCATGATTATATATCAAAAGGTGAAACTAATATAATCCATACTTAATAATATGATGAATATAGAATTTTAAAAAGATACAGTATCTTGAAATAAGTTAATGCTAACAAAAAGATAAAATGTATACCATCTATTCTAAAACATGTATGCATCTAAAATAATAAAATCTCCAATAATATCTATAAAAAATATACTGAAAATATATAAAATATTTATGAGTAATATTAATTTGAATAATACAACAACAACAGTAACAGAAAAATAAAATACTAAAAAGAGACTTGTCACAGAAAGATTAACCCTTCCACATAAAGAAGGCAGACGTGGCCTGATTGACATAGTTAACCTTCACTACANACGAACTTAACGGGTTTTTGTGTCAAATTTGTAAGCTTGCCGACTTTTAGGGAAAATCAGTTAATCGTGTGTCGGTGATGGTCTAGGGTCCATTCGTACGTTGGTGGTGGCAGAGGAGACAAAGATGACAAGTATTTTACAGTGAAAATCATTTATTAAAAACGGAAGATGCTTATATATTTGAGGTAGTTGGAAATGGCTTATCTACAGTATTTTCTCTCGGCACTGAGGAGTGGCGTATCACTGGTCCTACGATAGTGCAAGCTTATCAGTCGTAGCCCCAGAGCGGAAGAGATGGGTTCGCTTGGTCACAGAAGCGACGGTAGGTGACAGAGCTGCAACGACTGGAGCGGTCCGCGAGACACAACACAAATTTTAGCAGGCAAGACTTCAGGCTTAATCCAGATAAAGATGACACAGATTAATCACCATAGAATTTTTAGGAAAACTGCGTTTTGACCTTGAGATTCGGGGTTTTTATAGTATTTTTTCCTCTTTGTCTCCTTACGATTAGTCCTGCGTCCCATTCCTCGCTTCCCGATTGTTTTCTTCTTTGTCTCCAAAACCAAAACCAGATCAGGTCACGAGAAAGGTTTGTTCCGAGGCATTTATTTGACACCTATTCGTCAACTCTGATCAGAGATTGTCGATAAACCTATAAGCCTTTCGCTCACAATTTAGCCTGTTGTTTCTGCTATCTGTCATTTTAAAACTTTAACGATCGTGTGCGATGTTTTTATACCAGTCAAATCTTTTCCCTTTTCCGAAAATTTAACCTAAATCGACTGTTTATGAGCACGTTTTCCTATATTTTCATTAAAGAAAACCCATTTTACAAATAAAATTACAAAAATACTGACGGCTAGAACGGATTAATTGCATTTGCATTAATTTATATGGGAAAAATTGCTTCGGTTAACGAACAATTCAGTTAACGAACGGACTTGTGGAACAGATTACGTTCGTTAACCGGGGTTCCACTGTAGTTTGTCTTGGAAACCATTTGGACGCTCCTCTACGAGTGGTGCCCAGTGCATGATAATCAGACAATCAAATTTAAACTACTAAAACTGCTAATTTCTATAAATATGAAGGTCTACAATACGATGAATGTCAATATTAGAATTATAGCTATTGTAATAATAAATTTTCTAGCAGTAACTGAACACAGTGTTCAACTTCACTAATCTATTCATTCAAAATTTTTGCTATATAATAATGCTATGTAACAAAAATTCTGAATAAAAGACTTGAAAGCACTTCAGATAAAAATAATTCTTTTTATTCATAATGTATACAAACAACAAGAAAGTTGTGCAATCTTTGTCTAACAATAATAGATTAATATTTGTTTTATTCATCTTACGTAAACAATAATCTTCTAAGTAGACATCATTAATTTGTTTTTATACAATTTTTATTTGAATGCTATTTTCTTATATAGAAAGAAACATATATATTTTTATTTTCATTTAAGTTTAATTTTTCATCATACATTTAATTTCTTCATTTATTCTTCAATTTCTACAGTGATTAGTGATTTTATTTTTGTTGATTTATTACAAATTTTAAATTTTTATAAAAATATCGCAGTAATTATGCAATTAAAATTTCATTAGAATACTTACTTTTGATTAATTCAAGTGCTTCTTCCTTCGTCCTGGTTATTTTTTCTTCTCTCCATGAAGATGGACGTCTTGATTCCTGATGTTTTACCAATAAATGACTACATCGCACTTGCTCACCTTGACCACTTCCAGGAGAAGAAGGTTCAGCAGGTTTTGTTGGTCGTTCCCATTGACTCTCTTTTGTATAAATATTGAGATAGTAAGGTTGACCTACATTAAAAATTAATCAATTATGTCATTACTTGCTATGAAATCACATTTAATTATCATTAAAAAGTAGTTTTCTATACTTTTGTTTATTTCATATTAGCTTACCCGTCGCGCATTGCTGCGATCTCAGAAGAAACGAAATTCAAGTTTCGTTATGATAAAATTAAATTTACATTTTATCATTTTTATTGAAACTTAGTATTATATTATTATTATTATTCATTTTAATTGGGAAAATATTTCAAAGTGTCGTTTCAATTCTATTTATTTATTGGAGTGCTTGTGGATACACGATATTTTTTGTTTTTCTGTCTGATGCGTACACGAATAAATCAGAAGTTTTTCCGACGCGTGAACAGGCCACATACAGTTGTACTGTACATGTGAGAAGCACGGATTCTTTAAATTTAGCCCACATACACACAGAGATTGTTAGAAGTGCGATATTCCTCATTTTTATATAATTTTTTTAAATCCTTTATAATTATGATTATTTAATTGCTCCTTCCTCTCTTCCTTGGCATGTTGTGAAATTTCTGATAGTTGGATAATAAACTGTTTTATTGTAATTTGTCTTTTTAAATTATTAGATGATATTAAAATTTGGAAAAAGGGATCCCTAGATCGGTAAAATAGGCGAATTTCCTTCTACAACTTCAGTTGTTGTTCGGAATACAGTTAAAGTTTTAACAAAGTTCGAGTGAATACGTAATTAGCAAAAAATAGTTGAAATAAAGTGATTAAACAAAAATTATTACAAATATCGTAAATAACAGTTTACAAATGCATATATAGAGATATTTTTTGAAGGGGGAGAAATGGTCTTCACAATTTGAAATCGATCTAACACAGTGCTCGAATGCTCATGTAAACGCGCGCCATCTATCGTAGGATAAGTGTACTTTCGTGGGAGTGAATTAAAAAACTTTCCAAAAGTTTTATGGCAATCGTACTATGCCACAAACCTTCGCCGGAGTATATTAAACAACTTCCAAAAGTTTCACGGCCATCGGATAAACGGTGTGGTAATGCATAAAGGATAGACAGACACACACACACACATACATTCATTTTTGTATATATAGATTTAAGTCACAATATAGAATTGACATATTCCCTGCCAAGAGTACACTTAGAGCAAGGAATGTATTGAATGTTTTGATATGATATACAGGACTTTCTAAAAGAATGAGGCATTTATAGACATAACTCCAGTTTCCACTTCCAGTTATAGACATCAGTTTTTATTGAAAAAAACTGATGTCTATAACTGCATGTTTAACTTTTATTGAAAAAAAGTTAAACATGCAGCAATACATGACAGTTCTCCAAGTTTAATTTCATATAACATGATCATTGTTCTTTCTTTCATGGCCATTAGGCAGCATGAAAATCAAAAATGGAAACTGAACAGAAGGCATTTTGCATGCACAGATTTGAGGTTTGCATCTGCATGTATCTGATGATGATGAGTACCGAGTGAGGGAGGTATATCAACAGAGTCTGTGCCCAGAGGAAGCAGAGAACTGCAAATGCCTCAATATTGTGGAGAATGTGGCATACATAAAACCAGACTGCAGTGCAGCACCCATTGAAACCAAAAGACAATGTAGTGAGAAGATATTTAGCTCAGACATGCACGAGAAGATGGAAAACAATGGGTTTCTTGGAACATCTAATTTTCAATAACAATTGTCATTTTTCATGTCAGTGGAAAAGTCAACCAGTACAATATCTGCTTCTGTAGTACAGAGTATCCACACACAGCATGACTCCTTGAAAGTCCTTCTGCTCAGAACTGTCATTCATAAATTTTTTTTCACATCCAATAGACATTACAGAAGCAGAAATGGGTGAAATTTACTAAACATTACTGCATGTGTTGCAAAGTTTTAGTTATTTAGTAGTGTTGTAGTAGTAACAGTAGCAGTAGCAGGCACTGGCAAAACTATTGCAACAGCTGTTGCATTGCCAGCTCATAAAGGATTGAAAAATTTTTATCCTTATAGTTTTAATTACAATAAAATAATTATGCAATATTAAACTGTATCTTATTTTATGTCTTAAACATCCTTATTTGTGAAAATAAGTTTCTTACATTTAATGACATCAAATTCCTTCAGAATGCATTCTTCACATAGACTGTACCAATATCCATTATTAAAATAAATTTTATTATATACATACTTCTTTAAATACTGTATATTACATACTATGAAATTTTTATTATTATTGTTTTTATAACATTTTTTAATTGGAATTCCAAATTGTTACAATAATATGGAATGTATAGTACAATTTCAAAAAGTTTTTCCTTTAAACTGTAAGTTCATATTAATAAAAAGAGCATCAGTTCAAAGTTATTTGTTTTTGCACTTTTATCCATATGAAAGGCAAACATAGAGTGACATCTAAATCTTTTAAAAGCTATTCTGTTTAGAATACTTTCTGTTAATTAGTAGTAATATAAATGAGTGCTATCTTAATAATCTTTTAATTCTTTAATAAACTGTGTTTTCTTGGAATGAAATTAATGATTAATTTCAATAACTACATTCATTGAAACTTATGGACAAGATAATAATTTATTCTATTCAGATCGTATTAGTACTTCTAATTTAATGTTTTGATTTTTTGCCAAACTGAAACCAAAGTAAAATGAATATGAGATATTGACTCAAATATCATAATTAATGAATGGATTTTAAATATTTTGTGTCTTTTTTTTTGCAAACTGCTATGAAATTGGGAGAGACAAAAATCTATTCCATGATGCCATTCTCAAAATTCAAAAGAGCATATACTTCACATAACTTTTTAAGTTTGCATGCTTGAAATAATTGGACATATTTGAAATTTTACAGAGAATTAAACTCTAAGAAAAAGGCTGACTAATGCTTGGAAAAAAGTAATTTTTAATAAGGAGTATGTTTCAGTGTTTTATGCTGCATAATGAGCCAAAGTAAAATGATGCACTTGGCCAGAAGCTGTAAATTTCTACATGCAAAATGTTGACAGGATTAAAAAAAAGGTCTATCATGTTATTTTTTGATGAAGCAGAATGCATGTACAACGCTTGGGATTGCCTCAAGAACCTCAGTTAAAACTATTACTTGATTTACTTTTCAAGTAACTATGCATTTCTAACTATTGAAAGTAAGTGTCTTGAGATTCAGAAAATGTCTTTTAATGAATTCTTGGGAAAAGCCTACAATGTTAGATAAAAGTTTGTTCAGACAAAAGGTTCCATTGCCAGAAAAGTACTTGAAAAATTATACATTGTGCTAAAGAAGAGTGAAGAATACCAAATTGTGGATGCTGTAAATCACTGTTTATTAGAAGTAACTTCAGCCAATTCTGCTTTACTAAGAGTGTTTAAACCCAAAAATCTAACAGTAATTAAAGATGCTTTAATCATTATAAGCAATGTAGAGCATTCATTTAACATGAGAAAAGTTACATTAGACAATTAACAGCACAGACTAACAACTGAAAACTATAGTTTGTCATGCTTATTTTGTATATCAAAATTGTGAATAAAAAAAATCCAAGAAACATTGGCTTAAATCGTAAATGTAAATTAAGACAAAAAAATAAATGTTTCTATCATAAATCTTTATCTTTTTGTATTATTATTACCAGATATGCACATTTCTGTATATTTTGTAAGTTTCAGGTTCATATTTTGGATTAAAAATGTCATAAAAATCAAAAGTTTAATCATGGCAATTACTTCATTCTCATAAAATACTCATTTATTTTTTAATTTTACATCTAATATAAATAAAAAAATCTGATCAAATTTCACTGTGATATATTGTATAAGAGTTTATCAAGATAACTTACTGAAGATGTTAAGGATCATTTGGTGTCCTGTTAGATCCAGTTCCTACATTCTTTTTTATATGAGCTATAATTTATGTATATATTGGATTGTTCAAAAAGTAATTTCTTTTTTTACCACTAGACGGATTAGTCGTATTTTTCCTGCCATTTTCATTCTAAAGCATATTATCATTATATACTTTGACAGCTAGCATTTTAAGGCTTATTTGTAAAAAATTTTGTTTGATTTTGTAGAATTGTTTATTTTTTGTGTCCCTTCAAATATAGAAGATCAGAAGCAGCATCTTCGGCATATTTTGCTCTTTTATTACCGAAAAGGTAAGAATGCTGTTCAAGTGAGAAAAAAATTGGGTGACATGTATGGAGATGTATTGACAGAACGACAGTGCCAAAACTGGTTTACAAAATTTCATTCTGGCAATTTCAATATTGAAGATGCACCACGTTCTGGATGGCCAATTGAAGCCAATGAAAACAAAATAAAGGTACTGATTGAAGCAAACTGCCGAATAACAACACGTGAAATCACTAAGAGATTAAATTTGTCAAATTGAACTGTTTATGATTACTTGAAACAAATTGGTTTCATTTCAAAGCTTGATATATGGGTTCCACATGCTCTTAAAGAGAGATGCTCTCTTTGGTGGGATTTTAAGGAAATTTTTTTTACCAGACAATTTAACAATTGATTCAAAAGTGTACTGCCATTGAGTAAACAAATTGAGTAATATCATCAAACAGAAAAGACAGCCAGAAGTGATCAACAAAACAGGTGTAGTGTTTTACCATGATAATGTCAAATTTCACACAAGTTTGGTAACTCGTTAGAAACTGTTATAACTTAGATGGGACCTGCTATCACACCAACCATTCGACAGATCGAGCACACTCAGACAGAGCCGGCCCTACCATAGAGCAAATGGAGCAACCGCTCCAGGCGCTAAGTCCTAAGGGACACCATAATAGGATCTCACTCCACGCTAAAACTTGCCTCAGGCCAGCACTGCACTCAGATTACTACTAGTTCCGGTTTATACAAATTTTTTTAACTGTAAGACATTTACTTGAAATGACAATGTCAAAAATCACTTGGATCAGTTTTTTGTAAGCAACGATCAAAACTTTTATGAATGTGAAATCATGCTATTACCAGAAACGATGACAACAGGTATTTGACCAAAACGGTCGATATATAATTCAATAAAATATTTATTTATTATAAAAATATTGTGTTTTTTTC